GTGAAAGCCTTCGACAGTACCACTGTACCTTGATTTATAAATCACAAATATTCAAAGCATGTAATAAATATAGGGACAATATAAAAACAATTTTAAAATGTAACAGTAAAATAAAATAAGAAAAATAGCAGATGAAAATTGAAAATTGCAGAAGTAACTTAGAATTAGACTAAGCAAGGCAGCTGTACTTTGGGTGACACAGAAGCATAAAAAGGCATTGCTACCCCAAAAGCATTCTATAGCAAGAGTAGTAAAAAGGCACTTCCTATCACTGTTATTGCATCTAAAGATAATGCATTTTTCATCAGATTAACCATGTATAATCAGCATTAATAATTTATAGTCTTGGTAATTGTGATCAACAATTCAGACAAATTATGTGGAATTATTAAAATATTTACATAATTTAGCACAACATTTTAAAGTGAAAATTATACTTTAAATTATCTGTGGGGGAATAAAGGTAAAGAATCTATCAAGTCATGTTTACCTCCTGATAACTACACAGATGTATCCATATAGTTTTCTTGGCAACAAGATGTAATTTGCCACTCTCTTCTAATTTTGTTTTTGCTTTCCAGTGAATTCCAATAGACTAATATTGAACGCAAATGGGCTTTTACATCTAAGAACATGTTCCAAAGCCTTTTAATATGCAATGGGTTCTTTGAGCAATTTTCCTCATCTGACAAGACCACATCGAAAGGGTTCCCTGAAAATAGAGTAGAAAGTTTGAATGATGCAGGGTGGACAATGTGTTGCACATGGGCATCAATGTGCCTATAGCACTTCTACGTAGTGTTAGAAGAACTACTGATTCAGTTTGAAAAATAATTAAAATTTTGGAAGAAATCCAATTAAATCCTACAAAGTTACCTCTGCAATCTCTCATTAGAATGCTGATTTAGATTTAGACATCCCTACCTGAAATACTGTAGTATCTCATGCAAAACCCGCAACATCTCACAAAATCTGGCAATCTTACAATGTTTTGTTCACTCGTCAACTGTACATACATATAGGTACCCAGGTTTTTGCAACAGTTATCACCATCTAAAAAGGCTGCTGACCCTACTAGTAGTAATATCTTACAAGGCTAAAAATTCTTTGCCTGTATTGCACATAGTATACTAAGGTGTGGCCAGTAAAATGTAGTTTGCCAAATCTGAATATATTTCTACTTTGCCCCCACTAAAGGATTATGAGATTTATACATAGCTCCTTAAAACTGTATAGCATTTTCACTTACCAGTATAAATGCACATACTAAGCAGCAGAAATATAGAATAAGATGCAAGGGTAGCAACAATTAACAGCAACACACTAGGACAAAAAGAGAAATAATGAATGTCTTTAATCATTCTTTCCCATTAAAATGGAGGGTTGAGAAACTACATCTCCCCAAAACAACCAAGAACAAAAAAAATCATAAGACATATTTCCTCATTTTATATTTTAAACAGATAGAATATGATGCACATGACTGTTGATTTTCCATGTTCTGCCTTTTCTGCCTTTTCTCTAGTACTAAACTTAGAAACTTTCATGACTCATCCCAATCTAGCAAAACTAACAAAACTTTTGTTACAATATACCGCACACTTTGGTAACATCTGAAGTCCCTATTGTATTTTATCTTTGTCTGTGATGAGTAGATATTACTGAGGAGCGGAGGAACAATAAATATCAGCTACACGTTTGCTCATTGATCATCACAGGATCTGGCTGTAGCTGGGTAAACCTGGAATTGGCAAAGTGAATCACAATTCCCAAGCCAAAAAATAATATTTCCAATATGCACCCATCAAAACAGACATTTGTGCAATTTGGATGCATAATTGAGCACTGATATACCAAAATCTGAATTTTTGCATAGATAATTACAGAACTTTAACTTTGAATAATTTTTAGTAAATAGAATAAGAGGAAAGAGGGACTTTTCTGCATGAAGAAGGCTCCAGATATAATGCTTGGCATTTCTAGTTAGTAGCCTGAAGACTTTCTGTCAGCCACATAGAATAATACTTGGGCCAGCACCACGTAATCAGACTGAATGGATTTATTCATTGCACTAAATTACAATGTGATTGATTTGCTGTTATTTTAGGGGAAAAGTTATGATTACTTGATATATCTGCAAGGCTGAATTGGCTCATTCAATAAACCATACTTGAACAAGCCACAGTTAAAGCACGCGTGAATACAATACTGATACCTGACCTACAGATGCAGAATATGGGACTTCTGATACAATAAACCCCTACATCTATTCAGATTGCAGATAGGAGATTCCACTGCATTGATTCCATTTCCATTTAATGTATACACAGAATCATAGACAGCAACTTTATCGGAGTCAGAATATCAGTGTTGTCTGTGAATAAAGCTCTCTAGAGTTTTAAACGAGTCTTTCCCATCTCTAGCTGGAGATGCTGAAGATTGAACCTCAGGCCTTTTGTATGGAAAGCATGTATTTTATCATCAAGGTATAGCTTTCTCCACAGTATTTTCTTTTGATTTTGTGGAGGCATTAAACATTCTGTACTTGAAATCATAACTAGTACTTTACCTCACTAGAGACTGAGTTAAAGAGAGGAGGGACTTGGAATTTAACATAATTGGCCCTTCTCTCATCCTCCTCATTCAGTTTTGTTATTTTTAAAAAATCAATTTTATTTAAGTTTAGAAAAATCCCAACCCTTAAGTAAGCTTGAATATAGAGCACAATAAAGTTTTCAATCTACTCAAAAACAGAACTGATATTAAAAACATACCTAAATCCAATGATCCCTGTCTTGGACATGACATACGCCAAACCAAGAATCCCACTTCCCATGATAGCATTCATTATATTAAATACGGAGAAGCCAAAGGAGGTACCAGTTGATACATGATTCAGCGATGTCTGCAAATGTTAGAATTAAATATATTGTTACATTCTGATCTCTTAATCTAGGTTAAACAGTCCTTCAAGGCCAAACCAAGTATGGATAAAAAACCATTTAATTAACAAGCACAGATTCTCAGTAATCTTAAATCATGTATTTGACATACAAATGTTTTAAAATCTGCTACAGCTGTTATACTGGGAGGTGGTTCAGAATATGCGTTTATATTACACCATAATCCTGAAGATTCAAACTGGCTAACAGAGTTTGAATGAAATAGTTCCAAAGGTCTATGAAAAACATTTGTAGCATGGATACATTTGTGCTCTATGAAGATGCATTTGTGATATTCATGGAGCAAATTTGTGTTGCAAATCCACTATCATTGTGGATGTGCAAGAATATCTACCCATTCCATGGATTGCACAGGAGACAATGAGGCAGTGTGGCTTCACCTACTACCAAGGTTACAGTAGTAATGGCAATCACGTCATGTGACTTCTTCACCCTGACTCACCCTAGATGTTTTTCACCTTTGTGTTCAGACAAAAGCTTAACTGCATCTGTACATTTGTAGATATTAAGCTTGATTAGGCTTATCTTTGTTGGTTTCTTGTGGCTCAGCACTGTTGTGTGAACCCAGGCCATTTGGTTATCCAGTGTTTTGCAACCTCGGCAACTCTAAGATGTGTGGACCTCAACTCCCAGAATTCCCCAGCCAGCATGCTAGCTAAGGAATTCTGGGAGTTGAGGTCCACACATCTTAGAGTTCCTAAGGTTGAGAAACAGTGGGTTAACCTATGGGTCGGTATATTAAGCGAACCCAAAAAATGAGCTAATTCAGGAACTGGGTTAAGTGCGGTTCCTGCCGGTCGGACAGCGAGAGAGGGAGAGAGAGAAAGGGAAACCCTGCAGGGCTGCCTGCGAAAGCCGCGTCCCGCACCCCGAGAGCCCCCAAGCACGACACGCACCGTGTCCGGGGGCGAGAGGAGCGGGGCTCCCTCTTCCAGGTCCTGAGCCGACAAATACCATCCCGCCTCGGAACTGACGCTGCAGACCCGCGGCTGCTCCATGGCGTGCTGGGGGAGCAAGGGCTGGAATAACAAGAGCTGCTGCCACCGCCTCCCAGTCAGCCGGCCCTCACGAGAGGCAGTCTGAGGGCGGGAAGGCCCGGCTGAACCGCCCCCTTCCGCCCTTCGCCACGGCGACGGGTGATGATGAGGCCGGGAAGGCGGGCTACTCTGGGGGAAGGAGCGAGGGGGACGCCGCGGCAGGCCGGGATGAGGTGAGGCCGGGAGAAGCGGGAAGGGCCTCAGAGAGGGGATTGGGGCCTCAGGGGCTCCTCTGTGAGGAAGCCTTGACGCTCTCTCCTCTGTCCCTTTCCCTCTTGGGAGAGTCGCTTTCCTCCTCGGTAAGGCAGATGCAGGTTGCACGTGCTCAGAGACATAGTCCCAAAGGACCAAACTTGGAGGGGGCATTGAAAGGCCCTTGAGACTAGGCCCTGCCCGATGAGAGAAATCAGTGGTTAGCATAGCATTCTTCGATCAGGATAATAATATGTAGAGAGGGCACCAGACTGTAGAAGGCTCTGTGGAAAAGCACCCTCAGCAGGTAACCGTCTACCCTGCGAAAAGCTCCAATAAGGGAAAACTCGGCAACCTTCCACTGTAGATAAATAACAAGATTATCCTAATGTTCAGTAACATTGTTATGCTTGTATGCCCCTTGGTATTTAATTAAAAAAGCATAGTGGCTAGCAACAATGCAATCAACGAAAAACAAATTTGAAAGTGGTAAAAGGCTAAAATACATCGTATTTGAATGATTAATAACTTCACTAATTTTCACTCATACGTTAAAGAATATTTTCAGTTGCTCTAAGGTTAGAGAAATGTGGGAAATGAGAGCTGTTCATAGCTATTAGTCTCAATAATTGAGCAGAATCTCCGTTGTCTTAAGCAGTTGTATCTTTGAGAGTAGCTAGGTTGGCAATTTGGACTTCACAGAAGCTTTTGATTAGACACTGATTCAGGATTTGATGGCCTAAATGGATCTTTGGATAGATCTAGTGGGGCTTCTTTTTTGTTGTTCTGTTTTTAAGTTTGTATTAATTACTCCTGTAGAAAATCTTGAGCTTCAAGATTGCTTGGAGATTTTATTTTCTGTCCTTCTGGGAAACTATTCAGAATGGAAGAGTGTTAGGATTATGTTCACCTATAAAATTGATCTGTAATATGGTTTGTTTGGTTTTGTTTAAGCAAACAGGTCCAGTCATTATAGTTTATTGCTTAGTGCAATATGCAGACTGCTTTAATTGTGATTTGCTTTTGTTCCACAAAAGATGATTTTGTGCAATATATTGGGCAGGCTAAACTCTTTTCTTCACCTGTCCCAAAATAAACTTGCAAGTTTTAGGTGACATAAATCATCTCTGCGTATGTTTTGTGAGGTACTTGCTAATTACAGTGCTAAACTTACCTCACTGTGCTATAAATAAATTTCAGGTATCTGATAGTTAAACTTACGAGTGAAGAATTTTGAGATACTGATATTATTACTTAGAAAATAGAGGACTGACTGCCAGATAAACCTGTAAAGAATGCGACTGTAATTTCATATCCAAGATAAAACAAGTTTTGGCTTATCCAATTTATAGAAACCCTATGAACTAGCCATAACAAGAGCAGTAAACAGGTAGACATGTACAAGGACGTTTGTCTATGATAGCCAAAAAAACTATACTTAGTAGTGTAGTCTCAGTCTCATTTTCACTATTAGGAAAGCTAGTTGGCATTTGATAAAGTGGCATATTGCTCCAAATGCATTTGAGCAGGCCTTAATATTATCCATATCTTGATGGAGACTTTCTTCCATGCCATAACTCTTGAGGCCAGGTAACTTAAAATATTAAGTCAGTAGCATGCTATATAAGGGTAAGGCAATAAAGACTGTTCCACAAAATAAATCTTATACTTAATAATAGATTGCTCTAAGTTCACTAATAGCAGATAATAAGTTCAGATTATTTACAACTTGACAGTGTGGGTTTTTGTTTTTTTGTTTTTTTGTGTTTTTTTTTATAACTAGCAAGTCCATCTTTTTTCAGACAGTAATTTTGTGTAAAATCTTGAAAACTAATAATGTAAGTTTTTACATGATATAGAATTTTATCAAATGGGAAATACTAAGTAATGTAGAGAGCAAGTTTGGAGTAGTGGTTTAAGACACCAGGCTAGAACCTGGGAAACTGCGAGTTCTACTTTTGCCATAGGCACAAAGCCAGCTGGGTGAGTTTGGGCCAGCCATTCTCTCTCAGCCATAGGAAGAAGGAAATAAGAACATAAGCAGTGCTCTGCTGGAGCAGATCCCTGGCATCTAGTCCAGCACTCTGTTCTCACAGTGGCCAACCAACTGAACAAGGAAACCCACTAGTCTCCCAGCAGATGAACTTCAGAAGCAGACACGCTGCCATCACATCTAATAGCTATTGATCCCCATGATGTCCAGAATTGGTCCAACCCTTTTTTGAAGCTAGCCAAGGTGGTAGCCAGCACCACATCTCGTGGTAGTGAATTCCAAAGTTTAATTATGGCAAACCACTTCTGAAAATGTCGCCAAGAAAACTGCATAGATTTGTCTAGGGAGTCTCTAGGAGTTAAGATTGACTCAAAGGTACACATAGACATACTCACACAAAGTAATGTATAAATGTGATGCCAGAATGGTTAAAAGTAATTTAAGGATTAGTCAAGATGTAAGCAAACTGGACTGGGAAGAACTGATTGGTATATTATACATTTACTAAGTTATAGTATAGTTTGATTTCAGGTTTAGCATGTTTTGAGAACTCAAATAATTCAAGTTGGTATGTGACTATGAAAAATGTGGTTACTGAGTTTTTCACTGTCCTTTTTATGCGAGACAACTGGACTATGGTAAGAACAAGATGGGAAATCTGTGACACTCTGATTTGCTTCTGGTTCTCCATTTGCACATTTGTTATTATTTGATTATATATGTATATGTAAATGTACAGTGGTACCTAAGTTCACGAACTTAATTCGTTCCACGATTCTGGTCACGAACCGAAGTGGTCGCGAACTGAATCAAATTTTCCCATAAGGTTCAATGTAAATAAGGTTAATCAGTTCTGAACCATATGTATTTTTTTTAAGCATAAAAATATGAAACAAAGTACAGTACAGCACAGTATGAAGAGAGAGAACACTAACCTTGCTTGAGGCGACACCAAA